CAAGAATATGCATACTTTCAGAAAGCAGGTATGACTAGATGAGGATTAAATGAAAATTAAATGAAATAGTTTTATTACGATGTTTTAAATTCTTTTCTCAGTTGTGGCCAGTGATTCTGTTTCACAGTAGGAAATCATATTTCAGGAACAAATTCACAGGGCTGGAAATTAATAACTGCCCTTTTTCAGTGCTATCTTAAAAGCCTCTAATTTCACCTCTATTTTCTCACTTACCCTCTTCAGGGTCCTCTGGTTAGTTTACCTTAATGGCAAACATTCAGTTATTTTAATGCAATAGTGGAGCTTGTACCGTACAAATGTACACCTTTCTTATGCAGTATTATTCAGTATTAGAATTATTTTCTTGGTATAATTTCCACAGGTGCAAATATTAACTGGAATTTCCATCATTTTGAAGATAAAATTTGGGACAGGGCAGTGCCTGGTTTCCTCTTAAGAAAAGTGCAATTTATGGATATTAGTTGGTTGATTATGACTTTAGAATTCAGGGTCAAATCATAGAAGTTTAGTCCACTTTAAGGAAAGCAGTCTTACTAAACACATTATAAAATATGTTTCTCATGAATCCCCCATGAAATGGACCAAATATCAAGGTCTCTTACTGTCATTAACATCTTGTTGTCTTGATTTTCTTCCAGTAACTTAAAAGAACATTAAAATGTGTGAATGGCTGATCTCCCATATGAAAGGATCTAACTGATAGTTTTATTTGGCTTTTCCCCCTAGATCCTGTGCAATTGTTTCAGCAGGGATATTTCATACGTTGAGTGAGTGCTGTATTTAGGACCACATGTATGTAATCTCCACAGAGTATTAAAAGTTCTGAGTATGGAATATATAGTTATGTGAAGCATTTAGAGTGTAATATATAGCCTTATACACCTAATGTAACATTTGCCTAGCCCTACTGCCTTTATGAATATAATTTTCCTCCTATTTTGTCTTTCACTCCTTGAGTTTATTCCCATTTACATCTCCTGATTTACAGAGTTTCACACTCTACTCCTTTGTGTTAATCTGTAAGGACAGACTCCAGTGCTGAAAGTGAGGGATCCCAGAGCACCCACACAAACAGACTGAGGGAAGGGACTGTAGTGCACATCTTGGAATTAGGAAATGTGCTCAGAGTGTTAACAGCATCAACAACTGGGATTTCTTTAAAAAAAAATTTCTTAATTATGCTGCCACTTCTCTTGTTTAGACTACAAAGTGGCCTGAGTACCTGGACTACCTTATACATTACATTTATGTCAGCTTTTGGAAATCAATTAATATCCACAGGTGGGGACAGATCTGCAAAAACATCCAGTTTGTTTGGACACGTGTATGCACTGAAACCCTCTCTTTTGGTAGTAGCTCCAGTTGTTCTGGAAAGTCATCCTGAAAGGACTGGGCCCTCAAAAACTGGGCTCAGGACAAATTTAAAAAAGCAGATCCTATGGAGTCTACCGCAGTCTTTCACATGCAGTGTGATCTGTAGGTATTATGGTGGCTTGGGAAATAAATATAACCTCACCTCTTTCAGTAGGTAATTCAATATTGGCATTTTTTTCAGTGTATAGCTAGGCCAATTTTTGTGTGATCATAAGCTGCTCAGCTCATGTCCATTTATTGAAGGACATTCTCAGACCCTTTCTACTTTTTCCCTTTGTTCACAGTTAGCAAAACTCCCAGTTACTTTATGACATTGTATTACTTCTGACAAAAACTAGCCCATGTATTCCCATTTTTGGTGAGTTTTTACATGAAGCTTTCCAATCAGTTTTGTACTCATTAGCTGAAGCAACAGATGGGTGTCTCCATAATAGCAAGGAATTGACTCTGTCAGGTGTGGGAGGGAAGCAGGGTGAGAAGGACTGGGGCCCTCCAGCAGTGACAGAAGCTGGAAACCCCAGTGTGAAGCAGATGCAGTGCCACTGCATCTTTCCCTGTCAGCTGAATGGGGGTTTCCACTTTCCTCCTTACTTTGTTCTCTGAAGGTGCTAAACAGTCAGCAAGAATTTTGTTCCTTTGGCTATTGTTAAGATGAGGAATCTGGGATTCTAATTTTGCATAAATAATGAGTTTAGTTATGTAAGGATACATAACTATAAATTTCAAACTATATATAACAAAATTTATAAAAGTTATTTTATATATATTTATAAAATCTATAAAGCTATAAAAAGAAGCATCAGAGAGTACTTATAAGAGCAACAGAGTGGCTGCTCCCTCAGGCCATATTGTTCCTATATGCTACCTGCTGGGTTCATTGTTAATGTAATGCCCTGCTCTGCAATAGCTGAAAGAGAGGCTAAGTATGATAGATTTATTCTCAACCTCTCACCACGACACTAATTCCAGTTCCAGCAGCTATTTGTTCCCTCGCCTTTCGGCTGTTCTCCCAGGTTTGCCATGCCGCTCCCTTCCCGCCGTGCAGGGCTGCGCTCCGCAGGGAAGGAGAGGGGGCAGCCCTCGGGAAGGAGCGTGGCTGCCCCCAGAGCAGCGCGGTGGGCTGTGCTTTGCGCCTTCTCTGGGATGCTGAACATGTCATTTACACCCTCTGGGAAGCGGCTTCTCCTGGAGCCGCGCTCCCACGCAGGCAGCGGGGCCCGGGGACGCGCGGGGACCCCGGGCGGGGCCGCAGCCCCGGCACCGCTCCCGGCTCCCGGCAGGGGCAGAGCGGAGGTGCGAGCGGCAGGAGCTGGAATTCAAACGCGCCCCTCACGATAAATAGCAAACTGAGCCTGCCAGAAGGCAGGCAGATGGATGTGGTGCCCTTTGGTTCCTTCCAGTTACTAAAGTAATTCTTTTTTCTTGAGTCATGCCTAGCAATGGTACAATTATTTTTGGACCACCACCAGGGCAGCACTGATATGACGGTCGTTTCTGTGGTACAACTGCTGGCCCTTACTTGTGGCAGAAGTATGAAATAGTGTGTTTAGACCCATTGCTTTTTATTTCTAGATGTTTGTCCAGCCCATTTTAAAATTTTCTTATTGTCTAGTAAGACGGTATATGAGTCTGAGTGCCCAAACTGAAACCCGTTAATGGACTCTGAACCTTGATAAGCACTGCAAAGATTGTCTGTCAAAGATAACCGTGTAAGTCTGTGGGACATTCCAAATGTACTTTTTTCCAATACCTTTGTCCAGATACCTGGGTATATTTCATAGACATTGCTGCCTGCAGTTGTGTAGTTTGAAAGCAATTACCTTTTTTTGGTGTATTATTCAAGTAGTAAAATGATATGGAGCTCATCAATATTGATGCGATGATGCTTTTTGCATTTTTATGTACTGACTGTATTATTTTGTGTTTGCTGTGTAGCATTTTTAGAAATGGGACCCTGGGATGCATCTTGAGTGACACTATTGGAATGGCTAGGTGACGTTCCAGCATTTAGTATAGCTGAGGTCAGAGAACTAATTCTTAGGCAGAGCAGTGAGTACAGAGCTGAGGCTCTCCATACAGCTAACAGTGAGAAACATTTTCCTTTAAAAGACAGACACCAGTCTAAGTTTTTCCATTACTCCAGGTTTTATGCAACTGTTGCCATCTCTCCCATCCTCCTGTACTCTCCTCTGTATGGGCTACTGCTTGCATCCTTGCCTCCAAATGAAGTTCACTGCTTTATAAGTGGCCAGTGACACTTTTCTGCTTCTGTGGTCCCATGTGAAGGGGATCATACTCCAGAACAAGCCATTAGGAGATGTTATGTATTGTGACTTTCATCCTTTGAGGGAACTTATTTGCCTGACAGCTGATGACAGAAAATTTACTTGTCTTTCTAAGATCAACAGCAAACAGGAGACAGTACAAGAGACTCTGGTACTGATCTGCAGGACACTTGAGCAGGATTGTAAAGCTGTGTTTTCCCCTCTTCCCCTTGACACTAGCCATTGTGACATATGGTCAGCATTTGACATGGCCACAGCTGAGCAGCTCCCCATTTAGATCTGGGCTGCATCTGCCTCCAGAGACTCAGGTGGAATGTGAGCCATCTGTCTAATGCTAAATGCAGAGACAGCCCAGGGATTGTGCCCTTATATGACTTTTTCTTTTATTTCCTTTAAATAAATAGATTAATCATTCTTGAGCTTACAAGTTTGAAAACAATGGAGGGTTAGAAACTACAGCTGGGAAAATGTTTTGGGGGGCTCCTAAGTACAATAAGCTCATTGACATATGGAAGCAAGTCCAGTGGAGAGCAACTAGGGACTTGAGCATACAAGAGGAAAGACTGCAAGAGTATCAAGCTTTGTACAGCTTGGAGCAAGCCCAGCCTTAATGGGATGTTACAGAGAGGATACAACCAGTCTTTCCACCTACAAGGTGCAACTGCTGTATATTAGAAAAAAGCTTATGATAATCAGGACAGTCAACACTGGAAGCAGAGGGGACCTCCATCACCAGAGATCCTCAAAGTTCCAAGGGCTCCTAGTATCCAAATGCAAGCTTGGCTCTGCTTTGGGTGAAGTGTAGGAGCAGATGACCTGCAGACCTCCTTTGCAAACTAAATGGTTTGATAGTTATTTAGCACATGGCATGAAGGCAGGGAACTAGCAGCTGTGTGCTAGGGGATAGCATGAGCACAGGGCAGCTGAAGCCATACATAATTTATATCCTATGATCACCATGGCATGAACTATTTCCCTGCTCTTCAACTGGGTGTGTTACTAGACTAGCACTATCAGATCAGATCAGAGCTGCAGTGGTTCTTGTAATGCATTACAAGGTTGTGGCTTGCCAGTCATTACTTTTCTCCAAGCAGTGAGATTAATATTGGCAATGTGGTGACTATTTTGGCATTATTTGCACCAGGCAGGCAATATTCAGTCACATAACAACTGCAGCTGTGTTCATATCTTGTTATGTCCTGCAGTGACTACAGGTAGACCAACCTCAAAAAACTGAGCATTTCTTCAACTTTCAGCATTTAAAAGCTTGTGAAAATATTAAGGCAAACACACGTACTACTTGCATTTCATCCTCCTTACCCAATGTATTAGCATCATTTTTTCCCTGTGTAGTCCCATGGTGACCATCAATTCACTGCCAGTGGCAGGGACTTCCTTCTGACCAATGTCTGAAACAGAAAAGATCCACCAGAGACCTCACATACCCAAGAAGCTAAAGACACCCTTTCCTGCCTGAGGCGACAAACCCAAGCCTGTACCCATATCAGCCAGTGTCCTTGACCTCTTTCCTTCTGCAGATATTCTTCTCCCAGGACCCAGAATGCTGTGAGCTTGCAGAGTCACTTACCATTTGATTGTAATTTAAGAGATATTTGGCTGGAATTTACTCTCTCTCTCTCTCTCTCTCTCATAACCTCTCAAAACTTTTTCCAGTCCTGTTTTCCAAAGCTATGCAGAATAAAACATAAACCAAAAATTCTATCTCAGCCAGGCTAATGTTTAAGAATTAGGTTTAAGAAGTCACATATGAGAAGGACATGAAATAATGGAGTTAGAGGCCATGAAGAGGGAACTTTGGACATGCTGGGAGAAAGACACATTCATTATAAATTCTGGGAGAAAGACACATTCATTATAAATGCTCTTCATTATAAGTGCTGGAAGCCTGTATTGACTCTATAAGCATTCAGACATCTGGAGAACTACATATGTTGCAAAGAATATTGACATAAATATTCTTTTATGTCACTAAAAACCAAAATTTTTTGCTGTCAAGCTGGAAGACATTATTTTATTACACAAGACAATGACAAATAAATTCACAACCCTTGACCTGGAAGTCTAATAAAGCACTAGAGCTGACACAGTATCAGACAATATATAAAAAATGATAAAAGAAGATAAACAGGAATGGGGCATGACTTCATAGATGCCTGAGTCATGGGTAATTTAAGGGACCCTGGAGTAGTTTCTGCCAGTTTCATCAGGCACATCATTCAGCAACACCTTAAACCCAGCCACTGTTTCTGGCCACTGGTTCAAGAGTTCTTCTGCTGGATGGGTGTCAAGCAGACAAGGAAGAAACTTGTCCCATTGGCTGTGTTTAGTGACATGAGTCAGGCTCCTCTTGTCTGAGAGAACTTCTACCTCACCCCATTTGTGGCGAGGGTGAGGCTGAGGGCTTGGCAAGCAGCTGTGTGAGCATTGTGGGGTCCACCAGCACTGCTTTCAAGATCAATCAGAGGCTAAGAAGTAGGTGCTCAGTGAATGTTGCAGCTTCTACCCAGCAAGGTTTTCCCTCCCAGCATCCCCCCGTGTCAGTTTGATCCCTGGGTGACGGCTTGGGTCACCGTGGCACTGTCACAGACTGGGTGCTGCCATTGAGTCACCAGCTGCCACACAGAGAGACAACAGTCCATCAAGCAATCAAGTGAGTAATATTTGATATCATGAAGTGAAAGCAAAAGACAACACAAATAACACATGGCTGTACCTGCTGCTCCCGGATCTCCTTATCCCAGGTTCCACTGGGAAACCTCCATGGGTGCTGTGGGCAGGAGCAGGCTTTGAGCCACCCCCTAGGTGATCTTAGGACTGGGAGGTGCCACTGACACTGAGAAGTCTTTGCTTTTAACATTTTGTTCCCTGAAAGTGCTGCTGCTCGTCTTTCAGGTGCTGTGGCATGCAAACAGAGGTTGGTGGTTAACCTCAGCTGTCTAATGCTCATGGTGGTAACTGCCAGTGACATTTGTCAAGAGTTTTGTTCTCAAGCACAGGGAGCACTGAAGTGTGACAGGAAGCAAGGAGAAAATGTGCAAAAAACAGGAAAAGGAGGGGAAACTGCTCATGAATTTCAGAGGCTGGGGCTACACTGGATGAGACAGAAGGCCAGACTGAGCCTCAGAGTGACAAAGGTGAGGTGCATATGATCTCAGATAAGATGCAGGGGCTAATCCTGCAGGCAGCAGTACTATTAACTACTAGGAGTATTAACTAGAGTAGCAGCTACAGGCAGCACTCAGGCTGTCCTGTCCCTCCCATCAGCTGAGCACTGCTCCCTGCCATGAGGGTGCCACAGAGGTTTGTGAGGAGATGGGGTGGGAATCTTTATTTTCATCCTGTGAAAATCTTTGGGATTTCAGAGCAGGATAGCAGCCAGCTGGGAATAGAGGAAAGAGCCAGCTCCAAAGTGACTGGAAACTCCTAGATTTGGTACAGGAGTAACCTTTCTGTGTAGACTGCTGCTAGGAAAAATGAAGAATTCAACATTTTCTCAGGATAAAGAGTTTGCCAGAAAATATTGTCCTTATTTAAGATCAGCAGTAATCAGAAAAAGATCTTTCCTCTGATCTTTCTCATTCCAGGGGCTTGGAGAGGACAATCCTTAAACCTTCTTCCTTGGTCTCTAGCAACAGCTGGGGTAGGGCTCTGGAACTCTGCAGGTGGCCTCTGAAAGAAGCCCAGAGCATCTGCAGAGGTGGAGTACCACCAGCCTTGCTCTACAAATCAGCTGCAGTGGCAGAGTGCTGATATACCCCTGTTGAATCCCAAGGAATGGGATGAAACCCAGGGAATCAATAAGCTCTAATTTCCCAGATGCTGTTAATTAAAAAACTAAGGCAGATGAGGCTAAAAGCTTTTCAGGGGAGAGAATGATGAATGCAATCTGCTGTTGCTGCTGCTGCTGTTGCTATTATTACTAATAATGAAGAATGGCTCTTTTTTAATTTCAATTGCCTTTGAAAGGCTTCCCTGGTAGAAGCTGGATCAACTGCTTTCCCAGATAGGGGGATTTTTCTGATCTCCTGTGCTGTGGTGTGTCAGTGTAAGGCACAGAGCCCCTGCCCTGCTGAACAGTATTCAAGGGAGAATTTCTCTGGGAATCCTGCTCCCATGGCTGCTCTCACCAGCACTGCTCATGAGCCTGGGAGGGAGCACCACAAGCCTGTGACAAGGGCATAACCAGTCCTACAGAGGAGAATTCCTTCAGGATTCTGAAATTAGAAATGCAACATGCACACCCTCTGAAGCCTCCATCCTGTGAGAGGAAAAAAACCAAAGTGCCATAACATGTGTGGGGCACTGTCCTAGGGAAAGTGATGGATTTCCTTCTGCTGCAGTTGTAGGGCTGTGCAAAGGGAGGCATCCCACAGCCCAGCACAGGGCAGCTGAGCAAAAAGGCTGCCTGCCTTGGGCACATTGCTGTCAGATCATTCTCACTGCAGCAGAACTTGTCCTTCTGCTGGGGTAAGGTGTGTTGAAAGCAAAACCACTGATTTCCTGCAAATCACTCATGCTGGCAGTCTGTTTTGCTGGAGGCATTGCTTTTGGGGCAGGAGGCATTCATGGGGGACAGGAGGTGTATGGGCACCCATCCAGGATAAGAGAGCATCCCTGTCTCCAGAGCTGCTCCCTCCTGAGCAGCCTGTGGGCATTGCCTAGGTAGCCCCTTTGGCATCCCTCAGCCTTCCTTGGATCCCTACAGCTCAGTCTGAGGCCTGTTGTGCCTTACACCCCTTCCTCAGTGGTGCCAGCCACACCTGGAGGACCAAGTTTTCAACTCTGAGTGCATTCACTGGGCTGTTTCACACTGGAAAACCCAAAGACAGATGTGGTGGAGGAACTTGCACTGCGTTCCCATGCCACAGCAGTGAGTGACAGCACTTGACAGCACACCCCAGGGTGCTCACAAACATTCATGGGTACTGCCTACACCAAGAGAGACACTCATCTGCACTCTGCCCCCAAGGTGGGAGTCTAATATGAATTCTTTGAGATACTGATCTCTTATAAGACAGACAAAAAAAAAAAAAAGCCATAAAGTAACAGCTTTGATAGCATTTAAAATCAATGTCCAGCTAGTAGCACACATCCCAGCAGAGCTTACTTGAAAATAACTTCAATTTCATTTTATTTTCATGTAGAGTGCTAAAACAACAGTTTTTTAAAGCATTCCTTTTGCTCAGTGGCACCTGCTTTCCAGTTCCATGCTTAATCTCTTTTGTACCCTAGCTGTTTTTTCATCAGTTGTGGTATAACTTCACTTAGGCAGGGACATGCTTTGGTCCTTCCACCCCTTTGCTCAGTAAGTGCCCTGAGGTGTTTGCTGAAGCTTGCACTGCATTTTAGCCAGTTTCAGTTCATCTGCAGAATCCTACTTGGTCAAATAAAACTCTTGAGACAAGACTGAGTCGGCTCAGCCTTTTGTTTTCAAACAATGTAACATAGAAGCATGTGCATCTTCCTTTACCGAGGAGAAAAAAAAAAAAGGGCAGGAAGGCAAAAGAGATGCTTGTCATATTTTCCTGAACTACACAATGATGAGTGCTTCCGTGTTTGGTGCAATCTCTTTCTCTGGCCAAACATGGTAAGGAAGTGACTCTGCTCCCCACAGCACACGCCTGCCAATATCTCCTTTCAGCTGCCAGAGGAAGAGAGGAGGCTGCATGTCTCTGCTGCTGGGAGCTTGCATTCAGAGAAAGGCAGCAGACCATAGAGACACTGTATCAAATCAAGGAGGAAGTGATTAAAAATTATTTATTTCAAAGATACATGCAGATCACAGATCACTGAATTGTTCTTTGTTTATCCCAAATGTGATGATAAAAAGAAGATGAAGGTTAGGATTGCCACAAATCCATAAGCCCAGAGCAAGCAAAAAGGTCTTACCAGCCCACCCCAATCCAAGGCAGGGATTCAAACACCTGGGGCTAGAGACAACCCCTTTTGGCTTCTAAACTTTCCCTCCACTCCTGATCACAGAAATGCAGCACCTAAAACTTACAAAGAACCACATCCGCCCCCATTTCTCATTTGAGGCTCAGCAGCTGCTCTGACCCTTTACACTGAGGCTGCACTGTCAACCCAAGCCCAACATTTCACCAGGGGAACTGCATTAGTGCACTTTATCACAGCAATATGCCCTGTGTGTTTCTCACCAAGGTCTGGGAGCAGTGTGGGGAGGAGGAGGGTGGCTCATTGCTGTGGCTTTTGCCCTTCTCCTATCTATGGCTTCTGCTGCCTGTGGCCAGCTTCCCACTGCTCAGCTTCATGCCTCTGAATTTGGCTACCCAAATTGGTTACTTCAATTGTACTAATCTCTTTGCTGGACCCTCTCCATTTTGTTAAATAAATGAATGCTTTATAATTTTGCTGCATGGCATGAAAATTCACCCATTTTCACTGCATTCACTCAATTTCTGGTGAAACGTGCCCTGAGTGGAGCTTTGGAGCCCAGCAGCTCACAAGCACTGCAGAGAGGTTGTGTCTGGCTCTGGGTCTGGCTCCTGGCTGCGAGCACACCCAGAGACCTGGTGAGGTGATGCTGAGCTGGCAAAGGCAGCCATGGAGTCCTGCATCTAGAAATTACCTATGTTAAAGTCTTGGCTTGCTTGAATAAAGGCCAGCTGTCCCTGAACACTGAGCAGGTTTCCTTCAATATAAGTATATGAAGCTAAAGCCCTCTCTGCATCAAGTCACCAAAGGCATCACCTTTTACTAGTCACCGAAGAGAGGTCTGTAAAACCAGGGGAGGATAAAAAATACCAGGAGCAGTAGGCTTTGTTTTGCTTAACAAAGCACTGTCTGAAGTGGCACAATGTGAAAATAAAAAAGAACTGAAAGAGAAGAAGGCTGGTAAGGGAAACCTGTGGAGTGCTTGACAAGAGGAAGGCTGCGATCTGTTGATTTGGACCCTGTATTTCAGCTGGGCTCTGCTCAGAGCCAACCTGTCTGTCAGGGAAAAGCCCTAAGCAATGTTTCTGAAAGATAGGGAGAGATATCTTTAGGCACAAGGAAAGGAATAGCCACAAAAGTCAGCTCACTATTTCTATCTCATATTCAGAGCTGCCAAGTTTCATACTCAACTATAAATCTATTGCTTTCTAACTATAAAGCTGCCTTTTTGTGTTTTAATAGGAAATTGTCTGAAAATTTCACTGGATGGCATTTTCAGATGATTTAAGAAAAGGCTGTTGATTTCAGACCTCCATAAGTGGTTTGGTAAATAAATACAAAACTGAACAAAAAGATGATTTGATGTTTTCAGTGACAATTTGGTGGCAATTTTCAGAGATACAATAGTTCTGCATGCAAAATACATTTCTTTTTATATCATGGCTGGCAGGAATCAGATAGCCTTCTTTTTTATTTCTTTTTTTTTTTTCCCTGCAAATTCATTGAAGAAGAAATTCTGTGGTTTGGTATTAACAATGCTGTATCAGAAAAACTCATTGACTACTGCTTTTTGCTCCCATTAATAACACCTTCTGGAGGTAGTTCCCAATAACTGCATAATGTATTGTAAACCCTATCACTGCCCCAATACTTTTAAAGGTAATTTATGACTGTAATATCCTGTGAAGATTAGCTGTTTCAAAATTCTCACACTTACAGTTTACTAACAGAACTTATTTCCAAGTCTTACAAAGAGGGTGAGAAATAGAGGATGGGAGAAGTCGCAATAAATATCTGCTATACAATTTCCAAGGTGTTATTTAACTTTCAAGTCACACTTGGTAGCTGCACAACAGCGGAACAATATTTTTGCCAAAGTTAAACTTTTTAAAAATATACTGCA